CCTTCTTCTCTTCGCCGAACGTTCTTTTGCAGCCTCCACTGCCACCAACTCTGCATCACTATCAATACTTTCCGCAACATCTTACATGATTGCCTTCAATCGGGCCCGCCAACGTCGATCTGGCCCGCTGGTGCCACCACTTCTCCAACATTTGCGTTGTCGTCGGATGGAAAATTGGCGGCGGGGCCGACTGATTGGAGAGGAGCCGAGGCCTAGGAGACATTTGAACTCCAAAGTCGAACGGACTTTGGACCGAATCTGGTCGTGCACTACGGCTGCATCCCCTCCCCCATTTTTAAAAGTGAGCTGGGGGTGGACTGGAGCACGCCTGTCTTTTTTTTGGTGCGAAGGCCCAAGGGGCAGCTGCACTGCTGGAGCGCGCCTCTGTTCTCTTCAGCTTCGGTGTTACTTTTTCAGGACCTGGGCAACTGGATCCAGCCTCTCTCTCTCTCTCAGCCTCCAGCCCGACGTACTACGCAAAGGAGGGGAGGGGGGGGGGGGGTGCATAATTTTTGGGTCATCCTGGGTCTATGGGTCGGGTGACCCAGGCCAAGCCATCACCCGCTCGCCACCCACCCAATGGGTGACCTAGGTTAAATCTTCACCTGCCTGTCACCCAGGAAGGCATGCTGGCTGCACATGCCCATAACCCACCCAAGACGGCTCATGTAGACATCCGACCCATCACCCTGTGGGTCGGGTGGGTGCAGGTGGGTACGGCTCTGGGCGCCCGGTGCCCAAGCTCTGCTCAGCGAGTGTGCGCTCAAGCAGCACTGACACAGCAACATCCAGCCAGAATCCCCCGATACTGGAGGCAAGCACTTTCCCATATGGAAAGTGGCTGCTTCACGAGCCCTGCCTGGGTGCACTCGTGTGGTACCCAGAAGCTTCAGGGTCGTGCCCAGTTTCTGCGCCCAGGGCCCTTCGCGAATGCGCCCTGGGCGCCGTCGGTTGCAGCTGCCTCACTCCCTGAGGTGCCTGCTGCTGGCCACTGCATTCTCATTCGTCACCAGGGTTCAGGCCACATCGTGCCTCTCGTGCCCTTTTCCTGCTCACACAGCCTTCAATGCTGGGCCCTTCTAGAAGGCTTCCAGGGCCAGTGCACAACCTCAACCACCCCACACGCTGCTTCTGTAACTGAATGGCATGGGGTCCACAGCCACTAAGTTCGTCAAAAGTGGCTTCCGGGGAAATATTGCCTGCTCTCACTTAGGGCGTGGCTCCATGCAGCTCTACTGAGGTCTGAAGGCCTTGCACTTGTTTTCTTTTTTTTTCCCAAAGGAAAATATGCTTATGTATTTCAAATCTCAAAAGGAGGCCGAGAGTCCCTCCACATCTCAACCCGGTGTACTGAGGCCATTACTCAGCTTAGGCTTGGCTGGAAACCGGGTCCAGCTTCCATTACTGCATAATTCCACAAAAGAACAACTGGACAGAGAGGCTAAAACTAGATCTAGTGTACCCTACGCTTCTCTAATCTAATTTTTGCTATTGCCACCTTTAAACCCCTGTCTTTCTTAAACCCTAAACCCTGCATCGTCCGCAGACTATATTTTACTACTCCCCCTTCTGCCACTTCTCCTGTGCAAGCATCTGTGTTTTTTCAGAGTGCGCTAGCCGAACCGGTAGGCAAGGCCCTATCGCGCTCTGGTTGACTTCCTCGTCATCCTCGAGGAAAATGAGGGCCCTCCCCGCCATAGCCCATGACTTTGAGCGGACAGAGTGGAGGAGAGGAGATTGCCCTCGGGAGGACAGCAGCGAAGGACAGCAGCAACAACTCCGACGGAGATGGCGTCAACAAGGAGTCTACAACGAGATGCGGACAAGTGGCTGGCAACTCTGGAGGAGGGCCGGCAGCAGCTCCAGGAGCTCGTGCGGGTTCTGTCTTCGACAGCAAAACACTCCCCGAGGTTCAGTGGGGGGAGACCTTGTCCGTAGAGTGGCTGGAGGACACAACCCAGCAAATGCTGGATATCATCTGGGTACTTGAGAAGGGCCGGATCCTCAACTGTACAATATTATTGATTGGAAGCAGGCGGACACGCTCATGCGTAGATGCTAGACCTGTTTCGAGAAGTGTAATGACCTGCCAAAACACAGACTGAGAACACTGCTGATTTCTGAGTTCTGCCGCGGGAATGGATGCCTTGCTGAGACTTCCCGCATTCTGCTGAGTTTTCTAAGTCTGTGTGTGTGCATGTTTGGTGACCTGCGTGCCTGCCTGAGTGCTTGTCGGCCTGAGTGTGTGTGTGACCCACAAGGGTACTTACCTGATTGGGAGCCCCAGAGGGCCGGTACTTACCTGTGGCCATGACATTGAGGGTTGCAGCAGGGGAAAACACTCAAGTGGTGGGGAAAGAGGCCCCGCGACACTTGGAGCAGCAGAAAAACACTCAAGTACCAGGTAGGCCGGTACCACACCAAGTAGAAGTAGATGTGCCGGGTACTCGAGGCCGAGCAGAAGAAGACAAAAGTTGGCATTTTTAGAGCCCCAGTAGCTGTAGGCTAGGTCTAGGCGGGTACCAGTCCAACCAGTCTGAGTCTAGGGCCTGTACGGGCAATTTCAGAGTCTGCAATGATGTTTCCCTCTGAAAGGGAGGAGGTACCGGTTGCTTGGAGGCCGTGCGGCCTAGGAAGTCACCGCCCAAGAGGCAAGTAGGCCGCTATATCTCCAGGAGGAGCAAAGTGCTCCTCATTCTTCGGTGTGCAAGTTTGGAGACACACTCTGCTTGGAGCGTTCGTTGGAGGAGCACTGGGCATTACAGCGCTGCTAGGAGGAAGGAGACCCGGAGCTCCCACCTCAGCTATGGTGGAGCTCTACGGGTAGGAAGAGGAGGAAGAAGAGGGCAATGAGGGAGAGTGGCGAGGTACCTACTTGGCTATGGTGAGCACCATCTTCATCACCTTGTTAGGCGCTGCATCTGGAAGGCCCCAGTTGGGGTTGTGCCATACCAAGACAGCTTCAAGGCAGAGTCAGGCATGGAAGCCTGAACAGCAGTGAGTATAGCTGCTTTGTGTTACAGCAGAGCCTTGGCCTACATGAAGAGGAGGAAGTGGGGTGGCCATAGCTATGGTGGACCTCATGTCGTGCCTGCAGTAGAAGAGGGATTCGGACATTGATTCTGGTTCAGCCATTCAAGATTATTAATATTATTTATTGTTTGAATACGAGAGGAGGAGAAAAGGAGGAGGAGAGTTGTTGGTGAAGCAGTGTTGGAAGAGCGGTCACACCAGGAGTACTCTAAGAGGGAGGGACAAGCACTAACCCCCGTGACAATTACAACAACGGTGCTCAAGGTGAAACGATGGGGGCACAGGGTGAACCACAGCGGCTTCAAGCTCCTCAAGACCAGATCGCGACAACATCACAGGGCGATCTTCCAATAATATCGAAATTAACAACATCAACAGCAACGACATCAACATCAACGTCAACCACATCAACATCAACGACATCCACACCAACACTGAAAACAACAAATATGCTTACAACACCAGCAACAACAACAACCACAGTCGTTCCAGCGCAGATCACGGCGACATCTGATGGCATGACTTGAATGGCATCAAGAACCATCACAACACCTACCGCAACAGGGGCCATCCACGCCATGGGGACACCTGGTAATTTTCCAACAACACCAACAGCATGGTGGGGAATGATAACAACGAGGACAACGATAAAGCCTCCATTACTAGAAACGACGGCTGTTACTGGGCAGATCGCAAATGCGGGATTATCTGGCAACCTCCGAATTTCCGTCCTGGTGCTCGGGAGTGAACGCGCCACATGAGATGCTTCTTTTCTTCCACGTGGCATAGCCCTGGGTATCAAACAGTGAGACATATTTTGAGTAGGTTTCTCTCTCCCCCCCTTTTCTGCCTGTGCTGTGGTCCCTCCCTCTGTCCGGTGTACACTCATCTTGATCTGCTTCTCTTGGTTGGGCACAGGGTGGGAGCAGGATAGATTATTTCCCCTTCACTGATTGGAGTTGCCTGGCCCACAACTCCCAATCACGCTGAGGTAGTCGATTGCCTTTCGGATGGGTGGCAGATTGTTTAGGGTTTCGTGTGTGGATTCAATTTGTCTGTTGGAGTGATTGATGAGAATGCTTTTCACTTGCTTTGCGCAACAAGGGCAGGAGGTCAATCCTTCCCTAACGCGGAGAAGTAATCAAAGCCCCTGCTTGGTACTATACGACATATGCAGATCTTACGAACATATTCGTGCTTTCTGGGATGCTTGATAACACACGTTTGCAGATCATTGTATAGGGACGCTGGACCTGATTTCCAGCTGGCACACATCACATCATTGTATAGGGACCCTGTACCCGATTTCCAGCAGGTGCAGCTGCCCACTAATAGATGGAGCCTTCAACGCCGGGGCCCACTTAACGGGTAGTGTGATCGGCCATGTCACACTACCAGTCATTGCATACTCCTGACTCTTCCCAGGCACATGGTTTGCCAATGGCTCCGCGAGTGGGTAGCACCGTCTTCTGAGTCTGCATCCCATCTTGGTTGTGTAGTGTATTATGTTGATTCTTCTGGAGACTTCTAGTGTGCCCCCCCTAAGGTTCCACGCCCACTCCCCCGGATCGCCCTCCAGCTCTTCCACCGCGGTTGTCGGGGCGAAGATCGTGAAGTCCTCTGTCTCGATCACCCTTACCTTGCGCACCCTCCTTCTCCTTATTGTGGTTAAAGGGCGACAGCCTTGAGATATCATCGTGAAACTGACCCGCCCCAGGTAATTCAGGAATTCTGTTCATCTGGTTCCATCTCGATTCGAACTCAGGTCTGCATTTCAACAGTTTACAGGTGTACCAACTGAGCTAAGGCAGTTGGTACTTGCTCGCTCTATTTGTCTTCGCTGCCATGGAGAAATTGTTGTCTCATTGAGAGGTTCCTTGAAGAAGGGTTCGGACGGAGGGGGGGGGGGGGGAGGGGGGGGGAGAGGAGGGGAGGGGTGGGGAGGGTGGATACCTTGCTGTGCTCACCTCCTCATGCACTTTGAGGACTTTTAAGCCAAGCGTCTTGATCCGAGAATGCAGCCGCTCCTTCAGTTCCTGAAAAGTCAGCCCTGGTCGAGCAGCAAGACAGGTCTCCTGTGGGTGTGTTCATTCCAATCAACCAAGAGCCCAGTCCATAACAGTCCCATCCACAAAAGAACGGATTGGCCACATGCACAAACAAGCCCAGTTGCCTGTTTAGGAATGGCACAGTCAAAAAAAACATAGAGGTTGTAAAATATCAAAAATATTAAAATAATAAATTCAACAACGATGAATAGACATGCAGAAACAATTGCACGCATCAAGATAATTCCAAGAAGAGCACACGGGAGAACTCAAATCACGAGCTCTCAGTGAAATTCTCTTTCTCTTACATTTTTAGCTCATCGGATTCCATTGATGTCAACATGAATATGACAACCAGGCTAGTAATGGAAACGAGTTCGAAATTCAAAATTCAAATGACAAACCAATGATCACAGCAGCACAAGAATTGAAAATGTTGAAGTCACTTTGATTGTGAGAAAACCCCTTCTCACCTCCCAACAACCACCTCCCAACAACCAAGAGAAGAAGAAGAAGAAGAAGAAGAAGAAGAAGAAGAAGAAGAAGGAGAAGAAGGAGAAGGAGAAGAAGGAAAAGGAATATCTTCATCTCTTGTGATTGAGAAATGAGAGATGGACTTTCTTCTTTCTCTCTCCAGATATAATTGAGTCTAGAGAGTGGGTAAGTAAACAAGATAATACGCCGCCGGCCAAATCCAACCATCCCAGCTCTTATCTAGACTGGCCTCCAAAGGTATTGATGTGTTAGATCCTTGAGGAATCCCCTTTCTAAATACTCTTATTCTACAAGGAAGGAAGAAGGAAGGAAAAGGAAGAAGGAAGGAAGAAGGAAGGAAGAAAGAAGGAAGACGAAGACGAAGACGAAGACGGAGACGAAGACGAAGACGAAGACGAAGATGAAGGAAGGAAGAAGGAAGGAAGACGAAGACGAAGACAAAGACGAAAATGGAGACGAAGACGAAGACGAAGACGAAGACGAAGACGAAGACGAAGACGAAGACGAAGACGAAGACGAAGACGAAGACGAAGACGACGACGACGACGACGACGAAAGGAAGGAAGAAGGAAGGAAGAAGGAAGGAAGACGAAGACGAAGACGAAGAAGAAGAAGAAGAAGACGGCGACGAAGAAGACGACGACGACGACGACGACGAAGAAGAAGAAGAAGAAGAAGAAGAAGAAGAAGAAGAAGAAGAAGAAGAAGAAGAAGAAGAAGAAGAAGA